GGGTGGCTACACCTGGGCCTCATCGTGGCCCCTCGGCCCGAGGGCTTCCAAGACCGAAGCTGGCGGGTTTGTTCAGCCGCTTGTGGCCAAGGTTTCTCTCAAACTCGGGGTGATGTTCGGGGAAAAAGACAGAAACATAGGAAAGCCTTTGGAACCAGAAGCGCTTGAAAGGTGTCTGTTCCTAGCGGGCTTCACCAGTAAAATCAAGAAAGACACACGTTTTGCTCCCACACCCGCCCAGTCTGAAGCAAACCCAAGACCGGCCGTCAGGAAGTCGACAGCCCTAGGTTCAAGCGAGGCCGGTGATAGTGGGGAGGCCGCCGACCTAGCCCCCAACAAATTATGTACCAGAGATAAACAGTTACGACCGCCAGCCTGGCCGACACGACCCTCAGAGAATACTCAGAAACGGCTTGGTCCAGGCGATTCCGGGGATGTTGCCAAAGCCTGGCAAAAGCCACCCCTCGCATGTTGTCATGGAATCTGACGAAAAGGGGTTCTGGTTTGGACCATTTCCCTCTAAACGTGACCCTTTTGTGGGTTCCATGTTAGTGGATCGTGTTGTTTTGTGTTCCACACAAGCCGCAAACATGTGTTCCCTTTTTCTACGGGTCACTGAGCCACCGGGTGTTCTCACAACGCGGGCACTGCGGCAAGCCCGTTTAGTTCTTTCCCACGGGTGCTCTGGCGGCTTCAATGCTAGGCTTTGACAGTGAATCAGTGGAGCCCGCGCAACCAGGACTCAGGGGTTAAGAATTTTCTTTGCCAGCACCCCTTTGCTTAAGAAGGCATGGTAATGAACTAAGGAAGAGGACAGGTGTTCCTCCCAAGTGAAGGGAAGGGAACACACGCGTAAGCACACGCACACGCGCACACACACACAAACACAAACCGCATACACATGCTCCTTCTTCAATCAGCCTCCTTTTGGCTGCCAAGTTTGATTGAGCTTCCACTTGCCAATCACTGTCTTCCTGAACGGTGTCAGTCTTTGGGATTTGGTGAAAGCTTATTCAGGTGTCATTTTTGTTGTTTGATCATTTTTAGGTGGCTCGAGCATTACGTGACCATGTTGGTGGAGCCTCCTCCCGAGTCCGCAAAACGGGTTGGGATCCAAGCAGGGGTGAACCCACGGCGTTTGCCTATCTCCGCTTATTTGCCAGGGGAGGATGGAGTTGGAATCCTTCGGGTCCTGTTGCAAACCCTTGGCCAAGCCTCGCCCAGTGACATGCCCTTTGTGCTGAGGACAAGCCGCGCTTCGCAAAGCGTGGGCGGCTCATTACTGGGGCAGCCTGGCATTGAAGCCAGTGGAGCATGGTTTTGTTGCTTGAGTAGTGGATGTGTTTCCTTTTGGCCGGTGTTTTTAAAGCCATTCGAACAGGGTTTCCATGGAGCCCCCATGTTTGGTGACCTTCCTGGACGCGCAGTTCTGCAAGCTTCAACAGAAGCGGCCATGGCCGATGAAGGGAAGACAGCCCTGGTGAAGTGAATCCAAACGGCACCTCCAAAAACAGCGAAAATCAAGGCCGGATTTGTTTCTTCACTGGAAGCGTTGCTTTGATGGCCGACAGTGGGAAAATTTAGCCCGTTGGCAGATGTGCAGATGGCTGAGACTAGATGCTTCACACCACATGTCACCGAAGTCGCCCAAGTGGTTGATTTTAGGCGCTCAGCGGCTCAGCGCCCAAATTTGCAGGGAATGTGTCCCACTTTGTGTCTTATACCTCTAGACTTGTTAAAGGGACCCGGATTTGTGTCTCTTTTGGCATCCCTTTCATCCAAGAAGACACACCCATTTGCTGGTGGCCTTCAATGACTCGTTTGGACAGAAATTGCTTGCCACACAACAAGCGTCCCTGCGCATTCGCTTGCCTTAGGATACCTTTACCTGAGAATAGATAAAGCAACTTCGTTTATTTGCTAACACAACTCGAGTAGGTGTTTTTCCAAGTCTTGTTTGGGTGGGATAAACATCACGCATTGGTTGCCAATGTTGATTAAGCTTCCCTTTGGTAGCTGAGTGTTCGGTTACGGACATATGGCAAATCCTGTCACGTCTCATACCGGAAAACTCTCTAAAGCCCGGCAAGCATTTGGTAGCGTACCCATGCAAGCGTCAACCCACAATCAACTCACTTCTTCCTGTTTTGTTCTTTGTAGCTTTCAGGGCTGTGCACTTCTATGGGAGCCAGAATCAAAACCGATGTGAGTGTGTGGTATTTTATCATATACATATATATATATATATATATCAACGCCGCTGTGCCCAGGGTGATCCTGTCGCCTCGTGGCCCAGGTGATGTTGTCGCTGGAGGGTGCGTCCATCCAGGTGCTGAACGCCATGATTTTCAACAACGACGCTTTGGCTGGGTGGTTTTACACATCACCTGTTTTGGCCCATTTTCGGAGAGTTTCCCTTGGTAGGGGTGAAGTTTTAAGGGAAATATAGGAAATCCTGCCATTGGCCCCACTCCCCGAGGCATTAAACCTGTTCGGTGAGCACACAATTGCTGTTTTTTTGATTTTATCTGTAGCCACATCTCAAGAAAACAATCATCGCGGTGTTGCAACGAAGGAAGGAGACATCGCAGGGATACTTGCCACGGGATAGATATAATTATAAGGGGCTGCGGCCGTGTGCTGCCGACCCAAAGTGTTCGCGTTGCGGTTGTGTGTTTTGCTCGAAGTCCCTTAATTGTTGTTATTGTTATTTTTGCTTGCTAGGCCCCCCAGTAATGTCCTTTTACCCGTTTTTGGTGGAGTGTTCCCCTACTAGAATAGACTATAGAAAAAAGGGTACCCTTGTTTTAACCTCGCTAGTGGAGGACCTAGTTTGTATGCGCGTGAGGGGCTGCCAAGTCACAGGGCAAAGTCGCGGGCGTGCAAAGTGCAAAGTGGCTTTTCGTTGCTCTTGTGTGTCAATGTGCGAGGGGCTGCAAAGACTGCGTGAGAAGCTGCAAAGTCTCTAAAGTCTCCTTTGGATGCTCTATTGTGCGTGTGATTGCGTGAGGGCTGCAAAATTATCTCTTCCTGTTATTTTTCCGTGAGGGGGCTGCAAAGTGTCGCTAGTTTATGTGTTTGTGGATGAGGGGCAGCGATTTTAGCTTCATAAGTGCAAGGGGAATTCTCGCTACATAAGCGACTGTTGGAGTTTTCCAGGACAAAGTCTGAGACCTGAGCAGTGACACCAGATACGACCAGCAGCTGGTACCAGGAATTGACAACATTCAATGTGACTTCTCCAGTGAACTACCCCTAGGGGCTGAGAGGGTCTTTCTTCGCTTTCGAGTTTGCTCTCCCAGGACCCGTCCTTCTATATGCTCTACGGCTTGTACGTTCTCTTTAGTCGCTTGGATGCATCTTGGGCCTGTCAGATCTGGACCATCAGCTTGGATCCTCGGCCGTCAGGCGTTGGGTCCTGTAAGCAGCAGCCAAGAGGGAGGTTTTGATATCTCAACTCCTTAGCCTTGACCCCCTTTCTGTCGGGCAGTCCGCGCTGTGACCGGCTTGTGCGCTTTCCTTCCGAGCAAATGAAAGCCAGAGTGGCCAGGCTTAATTGCCTGAGATACATTCCTTTAGCACTTCTGCCCGAGTTCCTGGACTTTATACTTTTCTTGACTGCTATTGGGTTGGATCTTTAGACTTTTTTTTTGGGGGGGGAAATCAAGAGGTTTTCCACTAAACCCGAAAAAAAG